CCATGAATTGTGGTTATCAGTAGCAAAATTCCTTTTCTTTTGATGGATTTCCTTCTGTGAACAGATAAATTAATTTGGTATCTTTAATGCCTGCTTTATGCTGTTGTTTCATATAGGTTTGTGTATAGTGAATATATTTTTATGTTATGCCACAGTTTTTCTCTGTCACTGTATCTTTCAGAAAGCAGCAGGAGAGAAACACATTCCTTTTATAACAATACTTCTTTATGTATCATTGCACTTTTTAATTTACAAGCTTTTTCAGCCCATATGATATCAAAATTCTTGGCTTTTTTTCAAGCCTCATGGCTGTAACTCCGTTCCTTTCAGAATGGCCCAAAATGTTCACGTGTCATTATCTGGCCAAATTACAGGAAGTATAAAACTGACTTGTTAACTACCTTGTCTCTTGACTGTTGTATTTAATAAAGTTGCTAAACAAATACAAATGAAGCCATTGGTTATTACCTGGAAGCAATATCCTTTGCTGCCCAGAGGGAAGCGTAGCTCTCTTCTCTGTCAACTACTTTGATGCTTTTGACACCAGAAGAAACAGGAACGCAGCGTTCCCAGCAAACAGGGACTCCTCAGTCCCCCAAAATTTTGTAGGGATCAGTTAAATGGAGGCTTTTCTCCAGCTGATCTGTGTATGAATGTCACTTTAAAGTGAAATACATTGCTATACAGATGTTAGTTTTGTTGCTTTTGGCAAAGCCTGGGTAGATGGAGTTGCAGGAACATTTCCTTAAGTCTGTGTTGGAGCAAGTGTTGTGACCTGCCAGTGTACAGAAACGTGTGTTACTGTTTGCTATCTGGGATTTGGACACAGTCAGCTGGCTAAGAATCATTTAGCATGGTCCTTGCATTCACCATGTCATTACCTGGAAATTCTGTGGAAGTTGCTATACTTTGAAGAATTCACAGCACAAAAGTTATGTTTCTGTCTTTGTAAAGGAAGGTACCAGCTATTGGAAGTTACTTAGTTACTGTTAACTCTGCTTCAGGTGCAAAAGTAAACCTGAGCTCCTGGGATACTTCAGAAGAATCTGTGCTCTGTGGTCATTCACCATTTTCAACATTTTGTCTCTTTCTGTAGTTGAAACTCTGCTTTCTTTCAGCCTGGTTAGGCATCCCAAAATGATCTTCTAGAGACTCAGCATAAATTTTACCACCTTCTGTTTTCCTCCTTACATCAAGTTGAAGCGTCCCTTGTTTTAATTTTTCTCTGGTGTCTCTCATCTTCCCATCATGTGTCACTGTGAAGAGCCTGGCTCAGTCTTCTTGGCAACCTCCTTGTGGTACTGGACAGCAGCTCGTAGGTCATCTCAAATCCCTCTCTCATGCTGAGTAAGCTCATTTCCCTCTGACTCTTCTCATAGGGTGTGTGCTCCAAGTACGTGACCATCTTGATGGCCCTCCACTGGACTTGCTCCAGTTCCAGTGTTGTGGATTCCACCACTTCTCTGGAGAGATTATTCCAGTGGTTGATTGTTCTTATTGTGAAAAACTCCTGGAATCTCCCCAGGAATAACTTGTCCACATTATCCCTCTTCTTTTCCAAGTGACTCCTTGTAATGTGGGAGTCTCCATCTTCCTTGTAGCCACCCTTTAACTACTGGAACATGGTGACAAGGTCTTCCCTAAGCCTTCTTTTCTCCAGGCTGAGCAAACCCAGCTCTCTTATAATTTCCTCATAAGGCAGCTTCCCCAACCTTGGATCATTTTGGTGGCCCTTCTCTGGACCCTATCCAGCCTATCCACATCTTTTTTTATACAGCAAGGACCAAAACCCAACACACTATTCCAGGTGCAGCCTGACAAGTACCGAGTAGAGTAAGATAATGACTTCTTGGTCATTATCTGGTGGTGCCCTTGTTGATGCAACCTAGCATCCTGTTGACTGCCAGTACCATGTAGCTGTGTGATTGGTGTCCGCCATTCAAACAAAGGGAAACCCCTGTTTCTTGGTTCCAGCAGTGAAGTAAGCTCTGTGGTGAATCAGATGAACAGGCTCTAGTTTCAGTGCAGGGAGGGGGCAGGGCTGGGATGGCAAGTCTCTGATGGCTGTGTTGTCTCTGTTTGGCCTCAGCATGTCATTAAACCATGCCCGTATTTGCTGGACTTTCCCTGACACAAAGGGCGAGCACTCATCTGGCTCCTCCTGCCAGCAGAAGCACTGGGAACAGAGACAGGCAGGTCTGGCCGTTGGTACGTGGGTTTGCAGAAGGAGTGTCTGCTGACAGGTCTAATACCTACTGTAGTCTCAACAGTGAAAGGAAAACCACAACAAACCAAAGATCATGCAAAAAGCAAAATGATTCAGAGACCTTACACAGGAAAGGAGTGACAAGCAGAGGAGCATGAACCTCTGAGGGGAAGATCTTACCTGGTAGATGTGGGCTGGGAGGAAGATGCTGTTGGAGCTCCTGAGAAGGACAAATCTGTGATTTGTGTTGGTCCCAGCAGGATACTCATGGCTTCAGCAACTCTGCATGTTCAGTCCTGTCAACGCACATGTAAATACCTGAGTAAAATTGCTGTGGTGGTGCTGTAAGATCTTGCTGGTGACATTTTTGAGGTTGTTCTCTTGCTATTAATGAGCTGTGGAAGTTGGGGAGGACCAGAGAAAGGCAAATACTCTGTTCTCATTTTAAGATGAGGGCAAGAAATCCTGAGAACTACAGGCTGGTCAGTCTCATTTTCATCCCTGGGAAAACAATGGAGGAATTCTTCCTGAAAGAATTAAGTTTTCATCCCACTTTGAGCAGACAGTTGGTTTTATCACCTCCCCAAATCTGTCTCAACCTCAGTGAATTCTCTGTGATTCTGTGGAATATACTTTCAAAGAGCTTTTCAAAATCCAGTATGCGGTTCAAGGCCCAGGACTGGCTTCCTCAGTCACTCTGCAGATGCATCACTTCGCTTACACCATGTGAAAAGTGTAAGCCAAAACAACAGGGTTTCGTGTTCAGGGTGTGTTGTTTTGTTGGGGTTTTTTATTTGTTGTTTTTTTTTTTTTATTATTATTTTTTATTTTTTTAAGTCAAAAAGTTTAGAATTCTTCTGTATGCACAGAATCTCCCAGACCGAGAGCTGGATGATCATTAGCCTTGGATTGCACTTGACCTAAAGCACTGAGATTTAAGACTAGGTAACAGACAGAAAGGTCTAGTGGGAGACTTGAGTACAGAGAACATCGAATATAAACCTGCCATGAACTTCCTTGTCTGTAGTGATTGTCTGATGACTGCTCAAAATCATTATCTGTTCCATCAACAGGCATTGCTTTGTGGATTTCTGAGTCCTTTGCAGTCCTTTCCCCTTCTCTGAGAAAACTCTTACCAGGACTGAGAAGTCCTTTTTCATTGGATTGATTCCTTTGGGATCAGTGCTTGGTTAGCACAGAAAAGTGATCTGAGCTCAGCAGCCTTTCCCAGAAGAAAAGCTGCTGCCAAACACGTGGCAGAGTCAGAAGATATGAACAAAATACCAATGTGCAAAAAAAACGTGGCACATTGTGTTATGTTGTTGACAGCTCTTTTAGAGGTTCAGAGAGAGGGGCACTAATAAGTAACAGGTCCATAACGTGCGAAGATAAAAAACCACAGGAGTATTTGCTCATATCCTGTCCCGGTTAAGTGGAGATGCAGAACGTAAGGAGCAGCACAAAGAGACAAGCAGTGGTCTCTCATTTATCATTTAGGGATGGAGAACTGAAAGGGCCACAGAAGGACACAAAATATAAAACTTATAAAAGGAAATTCTTTGGTTCTGTTACTACTGTATATCGAAGCCAAGAGCTCTGAAAGATTCAAAAAGGATTAGAGATTGATACGGAGGATGAGAACATCCGCAGTTACTTTAGATTAAAAGCTCCTGGAATATAATCTGTCCTGTTCCAGGACATTAGACAACCTATAAAACAAGGGGACTTAAGAAAACATTTTCCTATGAGTAGGATATTGTGTTTGTCCACTCAGTTATTTGGCTTCTTCCTCTGGAGTATCTAGTACTAGGACCTCAAATGCTGATACTAAACTCCAAGTTCTTAAGCTCTTGCCCCCTGTGGGGCAAGAGGCTGGGGCCAGACTCTTGTCAGTGGTGTCAAGTGGAAGGAGAAGGGGCAATGGACACAAACGAACCCAGGAGGTTCCACCTGACCAAGAGGAGAAAATGTGTTCCTATGAGGGTGCCAGAGCCTGGAGCCGGCTGCCCAGAGAAGTTGTGGAGTCTCCTGCTCTGGAGAGATTCCAAACCTACCCTGCTGTGGGTGACCTGCTGGAGCAGGAGGGTTGGATGAGGTGGTCCCCAGAGGTCACTTCCCACCCTCACCATGACCATTAAACCATGTCCCCAAGTGACAAGTCCACGTGTTCTTTGAATCCCTCCAGGGATGATGACTCCAGCACCTCCCTGGGCAGCCTGGGCCAAGGCCTCACGACTGCCAGGAGAGAAATTCTTCCCAATATCCAACTGAAACCTCCCCTGGTGCAACTTCAGCCCGTCACCTCTCATCCTATCACTGGTCACTTGGGAGAAGAGACCAACCCCCAACTCACTCTAACCTCCTTTCAGGGAGTTGTTGAGAGAAGAAAGTCTCCCCTCAGCTTCCTCTTCTCCAGACTAGACAATCCCAGGTCCCTCACTTGCTCCTTATGGTTCCCCAGACCCCTCACCAGTTTCGTTGCTCCTTTTGCTTCAGCTCCTATGTACCAAGATCTCTACAAATAGTACGAATGCTGAAGTGAATCATTATCGTATTTGGCTAAGCTGTTGTGGCTGTTAGCTTCTCCTTACACCTCTGATATTAAGCAAGTTTCTTGTAACCAATTTCTCCCTATTCAGTCCCTTTTTCAGCAGCTCACTGGCAGGAACTCGGATACTGATACCTGCAGGAACTCCCAACTGATACAGATAGAAGCGTTAAGCAGCCAAGCACAAAAAGCTTCTCCAGGGTCTGGCATTATCCTTAAATCATGAGAAAGCATTAGAAAAACACGATGCCGGGGTGCGTTGGGTGTAAGGGAGACGAAGAAAGAGGCGGCCGGAACGAGGGCAGCCTGTGGATCCAGGAGAGCCTGGCAGGCGGCGCGTCACCGCGGGCTATCTTTGTTCAGCTGCAGATCTGGGACACGGCTGGCCAGGAGAGGTTCCGAACCATCACCCAGAGTTACTACCGCAGCGCCAACGGAGCCATCCTGGCCTACGACATCAGCAAGAGGGGCTCTTTCCTGGCCATTCCTCGCTGGATCGAGGACGTCAGGAAGTACGCCGGTTCCAACATCGTACAGTTACTGATTGGTGAGTTAAAAACGTGCATACCGGGCACTGCGGGTTACTGTACGAGTTGCAATCCTTCTTTAAGATGGTTAGAAGTTTTATTTTTGGTTGAAGTTAAGACATATGTAATAGATCTGACTGGAAATTTTCCTGATGTTTTGGTTTTTTCATTAGAAAGTGCTGGTTCATCAAAACACAGATGTCTTGCTTTGCTTAAGTTCTGTTAAGAAGTAAACAGCTCTGTATCAGAAGCCAGCTTTCAAGCTTTTGCATCACACTTAATAGAGAACTGGGCACCCAGGATTTCCAGTTTCTGAGGCACAGCTGCTGTGGAACTGTTCTCATGATACAGATGATAAGGTTTCCAGGGCCCTGAGAAGCTCCATCATGTCAAGCCAATGTGTTTTGGCAAACTGGAACTCCCAGGTACTTCAACAGATGGGGGATTTCAGAAGGACTTTGGGGCAATCAGGGTTTGTCAGTTGTCTCAAACCTCCTGCTCAGAGCAAGGCTAATGTCAGACTGGTCAGGGCCTTTTCAATCAAATTTTGAAAATCTCCAAGAATGGAAATTCTGCAGCTTCCTGGGCAACTTGAGAACATCCTAATAAATACTTATTCCGACAGTCATTATAAATTACTCTATATTTCTTTTTTTTCCAGGAAATAAGTCTGACCTAAGTGACCTTCGAGAGGTTCAGCTGGAAGAAGCTCAGACTCTGGCTGAACACTATGATAATATCATCTGTGCCATAGAGACCTCTGCGAAAGACTCCAGCAATGTGGAGGAGGCTTTTGTGAAGATGGCTACAGAGCTCATGATGAGGCATGGAGGCCCCATGTTCAGTGAGAAGAATACTGACAGCATCAAACTTGACAGCAAAGATGTCATAGAAGGCTGGGGGTGTGGTTGCTGATATGAGCTAGGTGATGTCCCTTACTTTACTGGAATTTAGATGGTGCTTCACCCTAATGCAGAGTAGCATGGTAGCCATATTCTCCTCCTCTTGTGAAACCAGCAATTTTGTAGAAGTTAGACACAATCCTGTTTGCTTTGGTGTCTTATTTTTAAAAAGGGACTCTTGAGAGGTAGTCCTAAAAGTCAGACCCTCTGAAAAACTTACTCGGTGTTTGTCCCCACCATTTTCTTTTCTGTATACTTCATACAAATTTCAAATTGGAGGAAACAACTTTGAACAGGTGATGTGGGGTGGGGAGACATGGTTGGGGAAGAGACCGATACACGCCCCAAGTTCTGAAGCATTTAGCACGGGACTGTTGGCAAAGGAAGTCCCTTTTGGAACAGGCACTCTTGGCAGTGTCTCTTGAAATCCTCAGCACCCCACCAATGACCAGAAGGTGATTGTGTCTGATGAAGGTGTTTCAAGTGTGAGAATACTCAGCATTTTGATTCCAGGACCAAACAGCAGTCACCTGTCCTTGGGCACATGGACTGCAGGTTTCCATTGACCAGGCCCAGGTAGGGAAGCCTTCTCTCAGGTTTGGGCATCATCTTTTGAAGTTATCACTTTCACAAAAAGTGAAATTGGCTTGAGCAGTATTGCACCACTTGAGTAAAGCAGGATTGGGCCAGTGTAGCTATTCTAAGTGGAGCCTTGAGGAGAGGTAGATGCTTTGCATGGTGACAGCTCCCTTTTCCAAGTGGGTACCGCTGAGGTTTTGCCCTCAGGTCTCTTAATTTCATTCCACAACTCAAGACCTGCACCACTGGGAACAGGAACTGGAGAAACCTTGACCTGACTGGTAGCCATGATCTCCAGCTATGTGCCTAACGGTCATATCCAGGGTTAATTCTGGTCATACATTTGCCATTATGTTACCAGAGTGTTTCTTGCTTACATGGCATAAGTGGATTTGGTTTTTGGTTTGGTTTATTTTTTAAACCATCCCTTTAAATACAATCTGGGCTTATAAAGGGAAAGAAGACCTTGGAGTAGCTGGAAATCACAGGCATTGCAATGACCTGGCTTTAAGAAACCAGGGTCTTTTCAAGTGATACCCTCCCAGCTTCATACTCAGCTGCTTCCCTCTCCCTGTTGCAAGTTACTATTTGCTTTT